ACAGGTTTTGCCGGGAACGCGATCGGCCCCCGTGCGTGCAAAATCGTCCCGGGACACAAGGCTTACGAAGATCGCGTCGACTGCCACTTGGGTATTTGCGGATCGCAAACCAAGCCAGCCAAACTACACGATCTGTACGTCTCGCCGTGCCGGACCGCGCCAGGGAGGCACCTGGACGTAACCGTACAGGTCGTAAAGAAAAATGCGGGATCGAATCCAACAGCGACAAAATTCGGGTGCTCAGACCGACTGGGTGGCTCGAGGTCATTGCCAACGGGTTGCCTTTGCACGAGGGGTGCAGGTAAAGGTCGATAACACCCGTGTCTCTCCTTTCAGTGCTGCAGGAGCCCGCGCCGCGCTTCAGGATGCGGCTTCTCGTGCTCGCCTCGTAGTCCTCGCCCTCCAAGTTGGTGGCCGCTGCAGTTCAGAAGCCGCCAGCTTCATCCGCCTCCTCGTCCTGTCACGTGCCGCTGCGCGTCCTTTTGCCGCCAGCCTCCTGTCTTTCCCTCTCGCTGGCACCGTTGAAGGATATTCGCCCCTCCGCAGCGATTTGCTTGCGGACTCCACTGCCGCCCCGCCATTTGCCAGGCACACGCCATAGCCGCGGTAGCCTGCCTGAAGCGTGTTGCCTGGACCTGGCTCTGCACTGGGACCGCTTCGCATGACTGCAAAAAAGTCTGCTAAAAAAGTTCGGCGGGTTTGAGTTTAAATTGCGCGGCCTGTCACACGAATAAATCTCTTTTTGAAGGCGCTGGCCAAATGTGTGGCATGTAGATCTTGCATAAACCATGTATGCACACATACAAAATCATCGAGACGTTGCATCCAGCGCAAGGAATTTCCGGCGCACGCAGCGCTGCCAGCAACGCAAAAAACTGCCCACTGCACAGGCTTTGTGGAGCCCCTGCAATGCACTTCTGGCACGCACTCGTCCTGCCGGGAGACGGAGCAACGTCAGCGTGCTGCGGGTGATGCGATCCCCCAGCACGACACCGAACACCACGAGCTTGCAACATTTGGGTGGGGCTGGGGGTACGTCCAGTGCTTGCAGTCAAGGGACTGGTCAAAGGCAAGGCTGTCGGCTCTAAGGTGGGCGTGGACGTTGGCGACGACCTCAATCCGGCACCCGACCGCCTATTGCCCCAAGCCCCAGCCTGCCCCCGCGCCCGAAATCATCCAAAACACCACGGCAAGCGCAGCGCTTGGGGGCCAGTGGCAACGGCAGCCTCGGCCTGCGGAGCGGGAAAACTAGGTATTCTGCATCGGGCCCTGCCGTGTCCTGGCCGCAGGAGGCCATATTTCGAATCCTACGACTCGTACTACCCAACTACTCCTACTCCTACCTTTCCTGCCACTCATACTTACCATAGCTGCATCGCGACGATGACCAGGGGTTATTAAAATGATGCCCACACTACAAGCACTGGCTTCGCCAGGGCCCGAATGGGTGGTTGCATCTGAAGTATGTTTTGTGAATGATTCACACATCGTTGAGGGATTTCGTACAATTTTTCAACATTGTAACATTCAGGGAAGGACGCCTTGCTTCATCACGAGCACGAATTCACGATGTGCATTGCAAAATGTTTGTGAGCGCGCTGGTACATGCAAGTCTGCCTCAACTTTTTTTTTCGGCAGGGGGGTCTAGAGGTAAAGCACGGCAATCTCAGCCTTGTATCGGCCAACTGTTCTTGTAGTCCACACATTCCAGTCGCATGTCCTGTGCATGGACGGGTCAATGATGTTTGACATGGGGTACATTGTTGAGTTTTCATGGATGTGTGAACGGCTCTGATTTTGGGGGACGTATTCGTCGCGCACAAACCATGATGTCATCCATGTGCGACGTGTTCGCATCCAGTGATTCAAAATGCACAAACATCTGCGCAAGCAGTCCCCAAGCAGCATGAATCCCGAAACAACCGTCTTGCGGTCAGAAGCCACAATATATACAAACGAGCAGATACACTGTCACCTCACAAAGGCATCGCGGCGTCCGTCTGCAGATTGGGGGCGAGGGCGGACCATACAGGATCATGCAAGCCCTGCTTGCAAATCATGCGAAGCTGTGTGACAGCTGTATTACCTGCATCGGATGTGAAACTTGAAGATTCCAAACAATGGGATGACTGCACTCACATGCGCTCACGGCGTGTGCAGCGGGCCAAAACCGTGCCGGCCTGCGTCCTTGCATGAGGGGGTCGTGCAGACCCGGCAATGCTGCCGCGCCGCGGCGCGCGGCTGAGAGGGTGCTCTCTGAAGCGGCTCCCCTCCACGGGCAATGGCGACAGCATGGTCAGCAAACCATAGGCCATATGGGCGGTGCGTCAGCACTCGCAACGCGCCACTCGCGCCTGCGGCACGGCCCAGGCGCCCACATATACTAGCCATGAAGCACAACGGAGGTCGCGAGATACATCCAAGCAGCCACTGCACAGGCACTAACACCAAAAACAAGTCTCCATGTTCGTTGTCGAGAGCTGCACGGTAATTCAAGGTTGTGAGGTAACCAAAAACTTGTTGCATTTGCTTGCCGTGGCACGCACTTCCATTTTGTTGTTGCTTGTTGCCATTTTCGCCACCACGCCACGCGCACTTGCCACAAGGCTCTTTGAGCTTAACTAGAGCTGCTGCCGGTCGCTTCCGCCAACCCACCATGTGTTCCTGAAAATGCGTGGTCGCAAGATGTTCCTGTGTCAACCTTGAATTATCCTGCGCCAATGTTCCGCGGACGCAAAAAAACAAAGGAATTACTGCACATGCAATTGTGAATCTGTCTGCAATTTGGTATACTTGGTATTTCTTTACATACCGGTCAGTGCTGAATTGAATAAACATGATGTTTCAAACGCTGACCATGAGCCCTGGTCGTTGACGGACACGTCTTGCTGCTGGGGACAGAGAGAGAGACTAGCTCGGTTGAGGAACAGGAAATGCACGCGGAGCAGCGCATGAGTGGCAAAGAGAAAGTCAACAGGCTTCTCCAACCACGGAGTAAAATCTGCAGGTGCCTCGGCACGTGTGGCCCAGAAAGGTTTCTCCTTGTCGATGGGCCGAGTTTTACTCAACGTCTTAAAAGGCACCTGGAGTCAAGCAGGGCATCTTGTGGGCATTCACACGGTCAACCAAACTTCCACACAACCAACTTTGCATTTACTGGCAACAGGAGCGGCACAAATGCGACAACGGCGGCCAAGATGCCCCTTTGAAGGGCCCACCGAGATTGGCACATTGAACATGCCACAATATGCCATGCAGGCACTTCAGTTCCCGGGCTATCATTGCTGCGGCCCTTCTCTGTCTATCATGAGCTGCAGTTTAGCGCATGAACTTGCCGCACGGCAACCAAAACTAGTTGTGGAAAGTTACATCACCTTCGTGGGACCTCGCACCATCGATGGTCGTGAATTTCCACTGGGTGTTTATTGTATCAAATGGTTCTTTCTTTTGCCGCCAGCCCAGAATTCTACTCGCGAAGCTGTGTGGGGACAATGCATGTGCAGCAAATTCGCTGATTTCCTTAGCATCATCTTGTTTTACAAATTAGCTCCGAAACCTCCCGACGTGTAGCCAATCTCCTGATGAGGAAAAAAGGACTCCCATTGAGGACGCCCTTCTCACAGGCGGCAACAATTGCGAGAGGTGGACGAATTCTTAGCTAATTACTCACTGCCAGTGGACGACTCGGGTGAGCTAACGCACTTTTGCGGAGGGACTTGGAATAGCGATATTTTCTGGTGAAAATGTTCAGAATCCAATGCTGATTGGAGGGTTCGGAAAATTGTTGGGGGCCCAAAATCAAAAGCATGGCAAAAGTTCTCATGGCCTTTATAATTTGTTATGCGGCAAATGCAAGGGCTGGCTCAGCATCACAGAAAACAATCACTGTTGAGGGGCGGCGACACCCGCACACGAAAGAGGGCCCAACATTACAAGCGCGACAAGTTGACAATGACTTTGAAGATCCTTCCCAACTTGAAGAAGCCCATGCAATACAATATTCAACATGATGATTAGGATTGTACACACTGCGCCACACAGCAACTGGGGCCCGCTCTGTTCCAATGTCGGCAGCCGCAATTTCTTGATAGCTTGTTCGGATATTGGATGGCCACACTGAAGATCGCTGAATCTGCTCCCACCTCTCAGAATCCGTCTCAAGATAAATGCCTATGCGACCACGCGAGTGTATCGTCAACATTCACGACAACTAGCAGCAGCCCGCTATACCCCGCTGAAACCAAACAGCATGTAATCATTCAGTGGGAGCAGCGGCCTCGAACGTTAACCAGCTTGCCTGCAGTGGTAGTGCTCAGCGCCTCCTTCTTCCGGCATATGCTAACTTCTTAAGAAGCTATTGGTTGCAAAACGTTGTTGTAAAGCTAAACCGCGCAGAAAGACATCCTCCCATATGCAAAACAGCGTCTTTCAATTTGGAAATCACTTTCGTGCTGTCCGAATGAATGTAGCAAGGACAAACGCTGCAACATCCCAGTGCATGGGCCACACGAAAAACGTAGAGGCGTCGGTTGCTCAGGGACCACAGGAAGCCATTATACGAAACGACTTGCAAGGGATCCGTCTTGAACTGCTCAGCGGACAAAACCCCAGTCGCAAATTTGTCGATTGTGTTGTCAAGCGTGTTCCCATTTTGAAAAGCCTTTGCTATACGCGATGCTGAAATGGAAAAGCTATGGTGGTCTACTTAGGAACCAGAATTTACAACCGTTTGTACTGTGTGCCGCCGAACGTCATTGCTGATTTCCCCATGCGTAAAACGCAAAGCTAGAGGGCTTAGCCAACCTAACTGCCTCCAGCAGTCATTGCATCCATCATCCATCTACCGAATGAGCGTCAAACTGTCATCAAAAATTGAGCCGGCACTTTTGTTGGAGCTGTGCACGTGCACAGCAACTTTCATCAACAATTTGAGCCAAAACTTTTGTTGGAGCTGTGCACGTGCACAACATGCAAACTCCTCCCAACTGCAAAAGTGAAGCCTTGGACGCTCTGTCATCCATTGTTCCTGCAGGCGCAAGCGTAATTGGTGTTAGAGCTTGAGACTATACCATTTGAACGGGATCCAGGCGGCATGCTTTGTATTTGAGATATAGACCTTCAGGGCTGCTATACTGAGACGATGCCCACCAGCACATTGCAATCGCGACCACATGAGCCTCCAGTAGCGGTGTGATCGCTGAGATACTTGCCCGTCTGGAGACACAGCTGCGTAACAAGCTTGACTCTACACGAACTTACAAGTAGCTGAGCGCAACTAAGTTCAAACCAAAATGTCCTTGCGAAGGGGACCCAAAGTTGCCTGTGACAGTGTTGCACGTTTTCACTCTACATTCATCCAAGGCAACATCCTACCTGTAGATTGTTGCGTTGGATCTTTTCGTCTGCAACAATGCCTGACAAAACAGGCGGCAACTACGTGCTATTGGTTGCCGCATGACTCCCATGGATAAGACACGAACGATCTGTTTTGCCAGCGTCCTCTTGGTGCAGAATCTCTTGCAAGAAGTCCTGACCCCACTAAAGTCACTGGCATTTGCTGAAAAACGGGCGCAAGCATGCCACCTCGACTTCGCCCGTCAACCTTCTTTCTCGGGCTACATGCGCAGCCAAGTCGAAGCAAGGACACAGAAGGACAGCCAGGCTCTTTGCAGAAGAGGTGCACTGTGTTAGGCCTAGCAGATTGCTGGCAAGAAGACTTGGCAGAAGGCTGCTTGGCATGCTGGGCCCTGCTGGGCTACAGGCCTTACACTGGACTCCGGCCGGCGCCGTGGCAGCGGAGAACCTCATGCGCAACCAACAGGTCCAAGCAGCCATGCACTGATTTGACAAAAATGCGTGCAAAAGAAGATGTTGAGGACCAGCCACCTGCTCTGCTTACCGCTCTCGGCCTTTGCCACCAAGCCATAGCGTCTCATGCTGAACATGTTCGGCAGCATAATGGCTGCGACACCCCAAATATAATGACTCTCAAAAACCTGGGTGCATTTGCAAGGGGGAGGCAAAGCATTCCCCTTTGTCAGCCAGCCTGCCGCTTGCTGTAAATTGCGGATCATCCCTGATGATCTTTTTCAGAGGATGTCATCAAGCTGATGCCTCATGGTCAATACACAACGCAGAGAGCCTTCAAGGTAGTCAGTAGGATTTTCAAAAAAGCGGCCCTTTTGTACTTGCCGGTTGCTCGCAGGCTGGAGCAAATTCTGATGAGCCCAGGAAATTTGATGCCGGACGATCGAAAACAATAGAAATTTGCATTGAGATCATTTTGGGTTGGTAGCAATGTGTGAAGTTGCTAGTTGCCTCCGTGGTGAGTTTGGTCAGTTGCGATTGAAATCCAGCTCGAAAAAAGGTTGTTCATTCCATAACACGCATTGTGCCAACGTACGCAATTGCAAGCAACAATGCTGGTGGGTGCGAAATCATGTCTCAGTAGAATCGAAGGTTGCGCGCTCTCTACAAAGCACACGAGGAATCTTTCGGCGGCCAGGCCATGGGAAATTTGCACGTTTACTGTACAGACGGAAAGAAGGTGCGTCGACCTGCAATCAAATTCGGATGCCGAAAAGCAGCGATCCTTACTGACTTTCAGATAGACTTGTTACTGCGAACTCATATTTTCATTTCCTGCATTTGATACCATGATCTCGAGGCATCATGCACAATAGCTTTTTGAAAATTATCCAACAAACTCCTTCACCAATTCCTCAATAGGGCCGCACAGACCCAAGTGAACCTCATGGTCCACGTTGCACTTATTTCATCTCACACAACACAAACCTAGGCATCTCTAAAACTGCTGGAATGATAAGGATTGCAAGCACGAACAAGAAAATTAGCAGCGCAACAAACATCCTCCCTCCTTTACATGCGATTCTGACTTCATTCAACTGCCTTCCTGCAGTAAAGCAAGCACTATTGCACAACATCATCTGCAAACAACATGCGGCAGTGCGACAAACACTTTCACAACAGCATCAACAATTGGTGCGATGCTGCACCAAAAATGCGATAATTCATCGCTCAAAACAGTTTCTTCATTCAGTTCCTCTTTGCCTCACATTCTTTCAGTTTCAAGCCATTTGTGATTTACAGCTTTCATTCATCCGCAGATATGCAATTTATATGTCTGGAATCTTTTTCAAATCACACTGCGCCTTGGACGACAATGATGGTCAATGCAGAAACATGCAAACTTGATGAAAAGCCCACTGGTACATGTATATACCATGCTTACTTGGCATCCGTCTTCACGGCCTGAATCAATCACCCAGATCACAACTTTGGTTTTTGAGAAAGGCTGACTCCTGCTTGTGGCGTCGGATGCTGACTGACGCGGAGCAATCCTAAGCCAGCGCAAGGACTCGTTCATGCTGCTTCATGAGCATGCCGAACCTTCGCACTCATCGGTGCACGGGATAGGTTGCCGCCGATGCGAAATAGGAGAACATGAGGAGAAAATTGCTCACTAGGCAAATGCCAACATTGGAGATGAAAACACGTGAACGGATTAAGGAACGGAAATCTACCCACAAATTTCAAATTGGCTTTGGCCATGTGCGTGTTGGGACGCACGGTTCCATTCCGACTCCACCGAACCCAGGACTTGAAGCTTTGAACCCAAATTGAATTGGTTTTCCGTTCCTATTTAAACATTCATATCCAGCAAAAAGGTTCCAATTTGAGGTTCTTGGTGGGTGTGGCTTCCGGCTTCATTCGTATCACACAAAGTTTCAACGAGGAATCACCACGTCGGATTTGAAAATTGAACATGAAATAAGGCTTGAACCTTTTTTTGAAAGCTATTTGAATGGGTCCGGAATCGCTTGATTTTTGGGGGGGCCAGCAGAGAGATGTTTTTGATGCCAAATGTGAGGGCGACCCCTCGCCACGGCTCAAATTAAATTGACTGCAAACGTGAGGGCTTTGCACGCCAGGGCTCGATTTTGAATGATGACGCGAATTTGCATCGTAAGCGCGAATGGCTTCAAAACTACGGGGGGGTGACCCGTACCTTGGATGGCATCAAACCAAGGCATCCAGCGCCTGAAATCCGCCTCAAACCCTGACTGCACCTTGGGCGACCTGCACCTGGGACGGGGCCTGTTGTACCTTACGCTAGACCTGAAGCACGCCTTCTGGCCTGCGGCACCTCGAGCAACCTCAAGCCTGGACCTGACCTGGGCGCGGAACCTCCTTGCTTGCGGCAACCTGGGCAGCCTTCACCTGACCCTTCTTGCCTAAGACGCCCCAGTTCGCGGTAGTTTTGTTGGAAGAAAGGCACCTCACCCAACACCCCACGCTGGTCTCGCACTGCACTTGGCACCTGCTGGCACTTGTAGCCGGCTCCAGGCAAACACTTCGTGGCGCACACAACCTGCGCCTTGCAGTCTCAGAGCTGGCAGTTGCGCGCTGGCACCTACCCACACTGCACTGGAACCCAACAACAACTTGCAACCTCCCGGCCTCATAGCCGGCGCCCACGCTTAGTGGCTTAGTGCACCCAGGAGCGCATGGCTCGCATTTACGCATAGGTTCTGGGACCATGCCTGGGACTTGGACCTGGAAAGCAGACTTGGACTGGGTCCTCAGCTGTAGCGCTGGACCTCATCTGGACCTCAGAGACTCATGCCAGACATGCGCGCGCTCGAACCTAAGCACGTCCAAACTAGGCACTTGTACTCCCAAGGCCCAAACAAG